CTGGGGGTGGTGTCATCGCTGGCGGTGGTGTCATTGCTGGGGTGTGATGTCATCGCTGGGGGTGATGTCATCGCTGGGGTTGATGTCATCGCTGTGGGTGGTGTCATTGGGGAAGGGGAAGGGGTCGGGAGGTGTTTTAGGGGGGTCTTTTGTCATCAAAGGGGCTCTGGTAACGTCAGCAGGGTGGTGATGTCATGGAAGGGGTGGTGATGTCATAGCAGGGGGTGGTGATGTCATCGGGGAGGGATGGAGGGGGGGCAGCTGTAGGGGGAGCTTTGTGGAGGGTCTTGGGGCTCTTCTGCCGTCAGGGAGGTCCCGGTGATGTCATAGGGATGTGATGTCATCAGGTTGTGATGTCATCAGAAGCATGAGCGGCATCTCTGATGTCATTGCTGACATCACTGGAGGGGAGTGACGTCAATGGCGTGATGCCATGGGGGGAGGTGACAACAGTAGGGTGAGAGTGACGCAATGATGATGTCATTCACTACCCCTGTGACGTCACCCCGCCGGAGCCTCCCGGGGGCGGGGCGAAGCCTGGAGGGGAGGCGTGGTCACGGCGCGCGGGGCCACGCCCCCATTGGGCACGTGCGGTCCCGCGCGCTGCCCGAGGGGAGGGGGAGCGCGGGGCGGGGCTTGGCGGAGCTGCCGCGCGCCGATTGGCCGGCGTTGGGACCGGGCTTCTGCCATTGGCTGGAGCGCGGTGTCCCCAGGGTGGCCCCGCCCCTGGCGGTGCCAGGGCGTCCCCTGCTGGTCCCAGTGCCTCCCAGTCCCAGTGACGGCTTATACTGGGCCCAGTGCCTCCCAGTACCGGCTTATACTGGTCCCAGTGCCTCCCAGTATCACCCTGTACTGGTCCCAGTGCCTCCCAGTCCCAGTGACGGCTTATACTGGGCCCAGTGCCTCCCAGTGCCTGTGCTGCTCCCTCCCAGTCCCAGTGCCGGCTTATACTGGGCCCAGTGCCTCCCAGTATCACCCTGTACTGGTCCCAGTGCCTCCCAGTCCCAGTGCCGGCTTATACTGGGCCCAGTACCACCCTGTACTGGTCCCAGTGCCTCCCAGTGCCACCCTGTACTGGTCCCAGTGCTTCCCAGTTCCCGTCTCACCCTGTAGTGGTTGTAGTTCCAGCTCATACTGGTCTCAGTCTCTCCTGGTACTGGACTGTACTGGTCCCAGTGCCTCCCAGTCCCAGTGCCGGCTTATACTGGGCCCAGTACCGCCCTGTACTGGTCCCAGTGCCTCCCAGTTCCCGTCTCACCCTGTACTGGTTGTAGTTCCAGCTCATACTGGTCTCAGTCTCTCCTGGTACTGGACTGTACTGGTCCCAGTGCCACCTCAGTCCCAGTCCCAGTCCCTCCGTCACCCTAGACTGGGCCCAGTACTTCCCAGTATGGTGCTATACTGGTCCCAGAGCCTTTCACTGTTATCTCATCCTGTCCCAGTCCATCCCAGTCCATCCCAGTGCTGTCCCAGTCTATCCCAGTGTGTCCCAGTCCATCCCAGTGCTGTCCCAGTCCATCCCAGTCCATCCCAGTGCTGTCCCAGTCTATCCCAGTGCTGTCCCAGTCCATCCCAGTGCCGTCCCAGTCCATCCCAGTGCCGTCCCAGTCCATCCCAGTGCTGTCCCAGTCCATCCCAGTGCCGTCCCAGTCCTACAGCAGCCCACCTCGCTACCTCCCATGACATCTCAGACCCTCCCAGTCCCTCCCAGTCCATCCCAGTCCTCCCCAGCCGCCGCCGCGGTGGGCGTGGCCTCGCTACGAAGTGGGCGTGCCCCCGAGGGGCGTGGCGCGAGGTGGGCGTGCCCTCTCCATATATGGGTGTGCCGCGCTAGCGCCCTCCCTCCTTGGGCGTGGCCAGCGCTTCCCTCTGTCCCCCCCGGTGGGCGTGGCCCAGCGTACCGGAGGGCGGTACCGCCGCGGTGGGCGTGTCCCGGCTGCGGAGGCGTGTCCGTCTCCCCTGTGGGCGTGTCCGGGGGCGTGTCCGGGGCGGGCGGGGCGCGCGGCTCTCGGGTCCTTTGTTTGAGCGAGGCCGGAGCCGCGGAGCCGCCGCAGCGCCGGGGCCGGGCCGGGACCCCCGGGACCCCCGGGACCCCCCCGCACCCGGCACCCCCCGGGACCCCCGCGGCAGCCCACGGACACACCGGCAC